ACCCTAGCCCAGAAACAAAAAGAGACCATCCTGGCACTTCAGCCCCTTCAGAGTAAGAAATAGTTAAGAACCTTTGTGGTACTAACTGGATTATGCTGGATTTGGATTCCTGAGTTGGGGCTTATAGCAAAACCACTCTATGAAGGTCTAAAAGGGAATGATCATGAGCCTTTGAACTGGGATGGAACCTGCCAACAGGCATTTCTAACCTTAAAAGAAAAGATGGGAACAGCCCCTGCTTTGGGACTCTCAAACTTAGAAAAACCTTTCACCCTCTATATGGCTGAAAAACAAGGGACAACTTTGGGTGTTCTAACTCCAAGGCTCGGGAATAATCCTAGACGAGTGGCTTCTCTAAACAGCTGGAACAGGTGGTAGCTGGATGGCCAGGATTCTTGCAAGCTATGGCCACCATCACTCTATTGGTAGAAACAGTCAGTAAATTTACCTTGGAGCACCATTTAGATGTTATGACCTCCCCATCAAGTACGGAAGGTTCTAGAGGCAAAAGGACATCAATGGCTAATAGGAGGCCAGTTACTTAAATATCAGGCCCTCTGCTTGACATCCCCAGATGTTACCTTTAAGGTATGTTAAGTTTTAAACCCTGCTACCCTGTTCCCAGACTCCACATCCCAAGAAACACATCCCCAATTCATCCACTCGTATGTGAAAACCATGAAACAGACCTACTCTAGCAGGTCTGACCTTAAAGATGAGCCCCTGATAGCTTTGATGTTTTGTGGTCTACAGACAGGAGTAGCTTATTCATAAAGGAGTAGTAAAGAAGGCAGGTAATGCTATAGTTAACCAAGAAGAAGTTATAAGGCCAAAGCTTTACCGCCCCAGACTTCTGCTCAAAAAGTGGAATTAATTGCTCTAATAAGGACCCTCCAACTGGGAAAAGAGTCAATATTATTTACTCACTCTAAATATGGGTTCCTGATGCTCCATGCTCATGCTGCCTTGTAGAAAGAAAGAGGACTACTAACATCTAAGGGGTTCCCCATGAAACATCACAGAGCTCTTAGAACTTTTAGATACTGTCCAGCTCCCAAAAGAAATAGCAGCTATTCATTGCAGGGGACACAAAAAGGGAGACATGTCTATTATTAGAGGAAATGCTCTGGCAGACAGAGCAGGCAAGGCCACTGCTACAAGAAGATCAGTGCCACTGGCCACTGCACTAATGCCTATACTCCACCCATGTCAGCAGAATCATACTATGCACCTGAGGAAATGAAACGAACAGAAAGAAAGGCTTACAAAAAGAGTCCCTCATGGTAGTTGCTAGAAAGCAGTAAACTTTCTCCCCAAGGCTGAGCAATGGAAAATAATTAAGCATTTCCCTAACTCCTCACATTTGGGATGGAATTCTCTCTTCAAATCGGTTTCCCAAATATTCTTGGAGAAGGGACTATTCCAGACTGAAAAAGGGGTCACCAGGACCTGTGAACTCTGTGCCCATAATAACCCAGGAAGCCAGCTACTCAAACCTTTATAACATCAAGGAACCCTGGGGAAGACTGGCAAATAGACTTCACTCAGACTGCCTTACAGAGTACTACAATATTCGCTAGTACTTACAGCCATTTTCACCAGGTGGATAAAACTTTTCCCGCAAGGACAGAAAAAGTATTGGAAGGGTCCAAATTCTTACTTAAAGAATTTCATCCCAAGGTTTGAATTACCAAAAAGCTTGCAAAGGGCAAATGGACCCTCCTTCATAGGTAAGGTGACCCCGCAGGTTTCCTCCATCTTGGGCATTGGGCATTACCTGTCGTCGTCGTTCCTCCTGGAGGTTTCAATCCTCTGGTAAGGTAGAAAGAGCCAACCATGCTTTTAAAAGGACATTAGCAAAACTCTGTTGGACACCTGGGAGGCCTGAGTTTTTCTCCAATCCATAGCCCTCTTGTGCATAAGGAGGGCTCCAAGAGGAACCCTAAAACTTAGTCCATTTGAAATAACCTATGGAAGGCCCTTTCTAACTTCAGATTTCCTGTTTGATGAGGAGACACCTAGAACGCTCATTCATATGATCAACTTAGGTCAGTTTCGAAAGGCCTTTCAAGAATATGGAAATAAAGCATTTCCCTTTCCCACAAAGGAAAAGAATAAGTCCCCTCTTGAATCCGGGACTTAGTCTTACTGAAAACCTGGAAAGAAGGGAGGCTTCCCCAAGGATCTATTACGACCAAAATAAAAAGCCCCTATCAGGTGTTGTTAAATACCCCCGTGCTGCTGTGAAACTTCAGGGAGTCACTAGTTGGGTACACCTGTGTAGGATTAAACGTATTTCTCATGAGTCCCTGCAGGTGTGAGAGAAGAACACCACCTACACTTGTGAACCCCGAGAAGATTTAAAGCTGTTGTTTCACAATCACACAGATAAGTAGCATGACAAGGAAAAGTATGTGCAGTAATAAACCACACCTGTTGTTCTTATGGTAACAATTCAGAGTTAGTTGAACTGCAAGCTCAAGGCCTTCCACCCTCCTGCAACTCTTTAAAATTAAGGAAGAGTGCATAATCTCTGAGGGGAAAATGAGGTCAATCAGCAGGGCTTGTGTTCCAAGCACCAGTCACAACCCCAGCCATGACGCACAGCTGGTCAAAGCCCCAATTTTGGGGTTTGCCTGCATCAGAATGGTTAAATCAAGCGAATTAACATATGCATTACCTCACATAGTTATCCTTTTTGTGGTGAAAACACTTAAAATCTACCCTCTTAGCATTTTTTAAGAATACAGGATATCGTTATCTACTATAGTCACCATGCTGTACAATAGATGTCTTGAACTTATTCCTCCCATCTAACTGAAATTTTGTGTCCTTTGACCTACACCATGAAGGCAGCGATTTGTGACCTTAAGTTATTTCTGTGCTTACCTGTTTAAGCCTCAAAGCACGGAATTTACCTCTGTCTAAACTATTTCATTATTTGAACATAATTGTGACCCTACTCACAGTAAACTGTCAGTACCAACAAAACAATGATATTGTATTTATAATTATGATGGCTATTTTTAATTTACTTGAGTGTTTATTATGTGCAAAGTACTTTATATTCTTTCTGTTATTTGTTAATAATTCTCACTGCCGCTCAATGAACATGATAACCTTGATATTCCCATTTCATAAATTAAGAAACCAAGAGACAGAAAGGTTAATTATAGTGTTCAAGGTTAAGTAGCTAAAATTTGGGTTAGAGAGAATTCTGGTCTAAGCCTGTCCAACCCAAACCCCTCATGCTTTGCCAAATTCTATTCTGCTTCCACTTAATATAAACAAACAAGTTAGTTGTCTTAAATGTCTTATATTTACATTGAAATTGTCTTCTTGAAACTCTTTGGCCTTCTTTATTTTTTAATAAATGTTATTGCATATATCACTTTTTGAACTAATTTGCAGGTGAACTAGTTTTCAAAGACAGATCAGGCTGAAAATGTTGTGTCTGCAAAGAAACCAGCTAGTGACTTGTCAGTAATTCATAACTCCAAAATGTTTTGATTCACACATATCAGGGAACTTCTTTGAAATTAACTCTCTTTTTCTCCACCTGCACCACTTTGTACGTGAAGGAACAGCCCATAACTTATACAGTGCTACTTTCCTCTGATAAATCACAAAAGAAAAAAGTAGCAAATGTTTTTATATGACTATGCATTCATTTTGATGTTGTTCATTCAAACAAAATTCCACTTGAGGGAGAGGGGTTCAAGAGAAGTGAAAAAAAAAATGATTTTTTAAAGTTGCTTGCCAGTGGCCACGTAACAATCAGCTGCAAAATAAAAAATCTCAAACACCGGTCTTCTCTTTTTACTTAACCAGTATATTTTCCACACTACTTAAAATTCAGAGGATTACATTATTTCTAACCTTTATTCTTCTGTTACCCTTTTCTCAGAGCAAGGAAGGAAACTTATTTATCAGGCTCCTATCACCTGCCCAACACTCATCTTCATACACACTTTCCTCTTACAAGGGCATGACCTAAGGAATAAAATGTCCATTTATAGTTGAGGAAACGAAGCATCAGATAAGTTTATTTGCCTATGATGACTTGTAAGCTGAACAAATAAATAATTTAACCCTAGAGTGTAGTTTCCACCTTTTAGGTTGGCAGAGGCTTAACCAAGAGTGTAGATTAAGTTGAAGTTATGACAAAACAGCAATAATTGAGAAGTGAAGAGGTCTTGGAGGTAATGTGATGGGAGGGGGCCGTGGGGATCAGTGAAAAGACTGGCCTTGAATAGGAAGATAAGTGAGAATAATTGTCGGTGTAAGTAAAGGCACGGGGAATTCATGGGATCAGGAGAGGGGCACCAGCACAATATCTTTATTTGACTTCATCTAAAGAAAAATCTAAATTGTCTGATGTTTAGGTTTAAAAAACACATAAAAATACAAAGGAGAGAAAAAACAAGTGCCATTTTCTTATAATCAATAAGCTACTATTTTAAAGTCTAACATATCTGTTTTATGGGGTTTCTTTCCATTTTTAATTACACAAAGTCATGTGCTGATAGCTTGTGCTTGTTAAATTAAGATATAAAAAGTAGAAGTAAAAGACTCCTCTGCTCTCCTACTTCTCATGACCAAAAAAATACTATTCTCTGCCTTCACACACACAAATACGTACTAACACAGGCACACACAGAGAAAATATTATTGACATTTAGTGGTTTATTTTCTATCAATGTTATACTAGATGCATCATTTTCAACTTACTTTGCACTCAACATTGTTTTTCAGATTGATCTGTATTAACAAATAAAAATACAATTCATTTCTTGTAACTGCTGTACAGTAATCCACCATACGCCATGGTTGCCAACGCAATCCCCTGGTTGATTACTTCTGTGTTTTATTACAAACAATTCTGTGGTGAAAATCCTTGTACATGTTTCCATGTAATGAAATTCTTAGGTATTAAGAATATCTAAATTAGTTGTTCTCTAAATAGATAACTGTGAGTGAATCAAATGGTTAGTACTTACTTTAACAAACACCACCAAAGAGCTGTCCATGCTGACTGTGCCACCAGCAGTGTACGACAGAGCCGCCACTTCCCATCTCTGGCCACACTTGATATTGTCAAGTGCTTTAGTCTTTGCCAATATGTGAAATATGTGAAAATGGATTCTTATTGTTACTATAATTGGCATTTCCCTGATGGCCACCAAAGTATTTTAAATGTTTGTATAAACAGTAAATTTTTTGTTTACACATTTTACCTATTTATATATTGATTGTTTAGCCTTTTCTTCTTATACTGTAGCAGTGCTTTTTATATTCTGATTCTTTGGCTATTACACATGTTGCCAATACCTTCTCCCAGGCAGTGTCTGGTCTTCTGACTCTGTTTATGGTGTCTTCTTATCATTCAAAAGCAATTTATTTATTACACTGCCACATTTATTGATATGAATTTTCTCTCTCATTTCAGAAAGCTTTCTCTGGCCTAGATCATAAATATATGCTCAAACAATATCTTCTATTAATTTTTAAAAAGAAATGTTTGAGTTTAGGATTTTTTTCATCTGAAATTTATTTTCATAGTCATGTAAAGTAGGAACTAATTTTATGTTAAAATCTTCAAGTGGCTTCACATTTTCTTACAGGATTGAGGCCAAATACACTGTGTCCTGAAAGCACGTACTGATTCTGTGACTGTAAATTTCCCTTTTCATTCCTCACATTTTTAGTTGATTCATCCGACTCCTTTTACTCATACTTCAACATTCAGTGAAATATAGCCTCTTGCATGTAATACTCCTTGATCCACTCAGTGTTGAAAACCCTTCACTCCTCTCCCGACTGTACACTACTGTTGCATTGTAACAGTAGTTACAATGCGTTGTGAAGTCATCACATTGTGAAGTCATCCATTTACATGCCAAGATTCTACTCTTGATTCTGAAATATCCCTTAAATGATGACCACCCTACTGTGTCTTCTCATGCCTGTAACTTATGAATGAGCTTATTCCTCTAGAACGGGAATGTTCTTTTCTACTTTTGTTCCTAACTCTGACTCGACTCTACTCGACTCTCCTAGGTTTGTTTTTTTCCCCCTAAAGATGCAGTCTTAGATGTGTAAAAATATTTGGCTGAAAGAGTATTTGCTGCAGTACTCTTTATAATAGCCAAAACTAGAACCAATCTAAATTCATTCATAGGGGTTCAGTTAAATACATTTAGTAAGGTTATATAATAAATACTAAACAGTCATCCATACTGAGTCACAGAAAAAATTTACATTATGCAGATATATATCAGGCATATATTGAAATATGAAAATCAGATTAAACAAATCAGTATGGAAATAAAATATTATCCCATATATTACATATCACATATATTTATGTCACATACCTATCATATGATATAGCGTATATAAAGAGAGGGAGGGGGAAATAGAGAAGAAAAGGGAGGAGGAGGAGAAAGAAGGGGAGGAAAAGAGAAGAAAAGGTGATGAGGACTAGAAGAATATCTACCGAAATGCTGATAGTGATTATCTCTAGGTAATGGGCTAAAAAGTCGATTTCTACAAGTGTGTTGGAAGATGTATGTTGACCATCTTTATTTTCTTATTTTCTAAATTTGCTAAAACAAATATGGATTATGAAGGAAAGACATTTTACATGGTCTCTAAAATGAAGATACAACTATCTTGGTAAACAAGATTAGTAATAATTTTTAATTACTAGAAAACTACTCAGAATATTTACCCATGTGTTTAACCTAGCAAGTTGAAACTTTTCAAAAGTAAGCAATATTTATAAGTTAACGGGGATGTCGTTCATCATAATTTGGACAATAAAAATAGGGGTGCACTAGTATTAGTCTTTTTGCTATTTGATATTTTAACTGTACCGAAAATCAGGGTACTTTAAATTATAACTAAAATAAGTGTGCTTTTCTAAAAAGTCTTTTGAGATAAAATAGTAGCAAGCTGGCCAAAAGACACGCTATTTTTTAGCGATCCTCATGGTGATTTCATATTTCTTAGTTAATTAAATAATACTTTTATCATCTAATAGCAGAAATGAATGGGTGCAGAATTCAAGGTCTCAGTGATAGCTAACTATTATTAATTAGCTTCCCTAAATGTGACAAAGTGAAAGAAGGCAACATTTCTTTTGCCAAAAATTGTGCAATTATCATTTTTTATTAGACACAGAGTTATGGGGATGAAACAAGAAATATTTCCTGATAATCTCCCAAATGTTGTGGAAACTAATTTCTTGGAGATGAATTTTGTGCTTTTTGCGACTTTTTTAACTTTTAGTTTAGATTCAGGGGTACATGTGCAGGTTTGTTAAATAGGTATTGTGGGGGTTTGGTGTACAGATTATTTCATCACCCAGGTAATAAGCATGGCATAGTACCTAATAGGTGGCTTTTCAATCCTCACCCTCCTTCCGCCCTCTACCCTCTAGTAGTTCTTGGTGTCTGTAGTTCCCTCCGTTGTGGCCCTGTGTAGTCAGTGTTTAGCTCCCATTTATAAGTGAGAAAGTGTGGTTTTGGTTTTCTGTTCCTGCGCTAGTTTACTTAGGATGATGGCGTCTCGCAGATTAATTTTGAATATTTCTTCCTATAACAGAGAAATTTCTTTTCATATAAATTTCCAGGTTGTTTTTTCTTAGTGTAAAAAGTGAATATGTTGTAACATGAGGAATTACAGACCATTTGTCCAACAGAGGGTAAGTTTAATATAAATTATGGGAGCCTACAATCTTAAAAGGTGAAGCTTTGGAAGGGATATGGTGGAGTTTGTAAAACCAGGGAAAAGATGGAATGAAAGTGGACCTACATTTTAGATTCCAGAATTTGAAATGAGAAGGCTTAGGTAAAATAAAAAGAAATGCCATGTTGTATTACTCAACAACAACAAAAATTACTCTAAAGGCAGCATGTATTTCAAGCCTAAAAGAGATAGAAAAACAAAAGAAAGCAATTTCTTTATAGAAGGTTAGGAAAGGGTTGAGGTGGACATGGTGATTTCAAATAAGCATGTTAGGAGTTCACCACGTGCCAGAAACTGCATTAAGAACTTTAGAGAGATTATCTAATCTAATTGTCACAATAACACTTTGAGACGTGTATTATCATTACTTTTTATTTCCCCAGCTTTATTGAGGTATATAGGTGATGCCTTGAAAAAGAAAGAAATTCTGTCATTTGCGGCGAGGTATATGGACCTGGAAGACATTATGCTAAGTGAAATAAGTCAGACACAGATAGACAAATACTGCATGACCTCACTTATACGTGGAATCTAAAATATCTTTACTTTTATTTTATAGACAGGCATCAGAGGTTTCTAGAAATCTCATCACTTTACTCAAGGTCATACCACTAGCAAGCATAGAAAATAAGATTCAATACTATGCAGCCATAAAAAGGAACGAGATCATGTCCTTTGCAGGAACGTGGATGGAGCTGGAAGCCATTATCTTCAGCAAACTAACTCAGGAACAGAAAACCAAACACCGCACGTTCTCACTTATAAGTGGGAGCTGAACAATGAGAACACGTGGACACAGGGAGGGGAACAACACTCACTGGGGCCTGTTGGGGGAGGGTGGGGAGGGAGAGCATTAGAGAAAAGAGCTAATGCATACTGGGCTTAATACCTAGGTGATGGGTTGATAGGTGCAGCAAACCACCATGGCACACGTTTACCTATGTAACAAACCTGCACATCCTGCACATGTACCCTGGAACTTTTTAAAAATTAACTAAAGAAAATAAGATTCAAACTCAGATTATTCTGTCTCCAGAGCCAAACTCCTAACCTCTCTGCTATAGTGTATCAGCGAGATTGCTGATGTCACACAGAGTAACGAAAAGAAATAGAAGCCAGGCCTGGATACGGAAGAGCCTGCTATATATGGCTAAGTGTTAAGTAACATTTTGTCTCGTGTTTCTACAACTCAATTAATTATCACACAGACTCAAATGATGTCAACATGGATTGCTACTTAAAGATCTGGATGATGGATCAAAAATAACTCATTTGAAACTTTGGTTTAGGCAATTCAAAACTAGATAATCTTGATTAATTGACTAACCACATCAGTAAACAGAGTTTCCTCATTTCTAAAATAGGAATAATAATCATTCATACCATGTATATTTCATATAGTAGTTTTATAATCAAATTACACAATTCAAGTGAAAATACTAAATAAACAATAAAAGTCAATGAAGGCTGGGCATGGTGGCTCATGCCTGTAATCCCAGCACTTTGAAAGGCCGAGGTGGGCACCTGAAGCCAGGAGTTCAAGACCAGCCTGGCCAACATGGAAAAACTCCATCTCTACTAAAAATACAAAAATGAGCTGGACATGGTGACAGGTGCCTGTAATCTCAGCTACACAGGAGGCTGTAGCACAAGAATCACTTGAAGCCAGGAGGTGGAGGTTGCAGTGAGCTGAGATCGTGCCACTGCACTCCAGCCTGCGTGATTTTTTTTTTGAGACTCCGTACCAAAAAAAAAAGTCAGTGAAGATGAACTAATGCTTAAGATGGAATACAATTATACATGATAGAAAAAAGTAAGGCTTGGTTTGTTTCACTTACAAAAATAAAGTTATTTTTATTTCCTGCTTTACCACTCATTATTCACCTGCAATTTCTTACCATGTAAAGAGCTTTCTCATGGCATTTTTTACCTCTTCATTTCTCAGGGTATAGATGAGTGGATTCAACATAGGTGTCAGAATACCGTAAAATAATGCCATGCTTTTGTCTATAGATAAAGTAGAAAATAGATGCATATAAGTAAATATACAAGGTACAAAGAACAAGGCAACAACAGTGAAGTGGGTACCATCAAGATTGGCAAAAATGTTACGAAGTTTTGGCTGTGCCATGTGTTGAACAAGAATGTACCTCATCAGAATCTCCTATACATTGCTGTAGGGAGTGAATATTGGTACAACTGCTTTCAAAAGCAATTTGGCATATTTTTGGAAAAGTCGAACATTTGCATACCTTTCAACATAGCAATTCAGTCCCTGGGTATATGCCCCAGGCAAACTTTTCCACACAGACAAGAATGCTCATAACAGCCCTCATACAGCTGAATATGGAAACAGCCAAGGTATATTTAAAAAAGAGTAGTAAAATAATTATGGCATATTCACCCAATGAAATCTTGTGCAATAGTAAAAATGATGAAATACAATTACATGCAACAACAAGGATGAAATATTATGTTTTTGAAATATTTTTGAAATATTATGTTAAGTAAAGATAGCAAATCAGAAGACTACAAATGTATAACACCATTTTTATAAAATTAGAAATAAGAAAAATTAAGCAATATATGGGTTAGGTATATATACACATATGTTAAAGCTATTTTCATAAAGTAAGGAAGTCGTAAACCAAACGAGAATATTGGTTAAGGCAAAGAAATAAAATAGAGAAGACACATATGACACAAGTTATTAGGAATGTTCTTAAATTGATAAGTTCATAGATGATCATTAATTATGATAATTATGTTTTATAACATATTAATATATAATTTATTATTTATTACATATTACATATATTAAATAATACACATATTATTTGTATCAAATATTTTTAACTAATAATATTTTTAAATCTTTTATGAAAGAAATCAGCCATGGGGTACCCTCTCACCTCTAGCCTACCTTCCTTTTCTGCCTTCACTGTGGACACTTTCACCTTCCAAGGAGGAGGAGTTCAGAGTCCCTTCCCCAATACCATACCTACCACCACATCCTTTCTCTGCTCTCTCTCCAACCACAGCAGAATAAGTAAAATTTATAAT